TAATCTTCATACTATGTCAGAGCATGATGAAAATATACAGTAAAACAAAATAAAAAAGTTTCTAATTTTTTTTGAAATATGTGGGTTAACACCTTTGAAAAACATTTAATTTTCCAATACATGCTATATAAAGTTTTTAGATACTTTAGGGTTATTTTAAAAATCTAACCACACTCTAAATGTATATTAATGTAGGCTAAACATATTTTCAAGGTACATGATCATCATTTATAACATTCTACCGAGTATATTATTTGAACTTCATATACGATTTAATTAGTGTACTAACCCCTATAAAATATCTATTTTCTAGAGAAAATATGAATTAAACCACACTCTCAATGTATATTAATGTAGGCTAAATATATTTTCATGGTACATGGTCATCATTTCTAACTTTCAAACAAGTAATTTATTTAAACTTCATATACGATCTAATTAGTGTACAAACCCCTATAAAATCTCTATTTTCCAGAGAAATAAGAACACATAAGGTCTCAAACCATTTTAATCTTCATACTATGTCATTTTTGATGAAAATATAAATTAAAACAAAAATACCAAATGTTCTAATTATTTTTGAAATATGTGGGTAAACCCCTTTGAAAACATTGAATTTTCCGATACATGCTATCTAAATTTTTTAGATACTTTAGTGTTATTTAAAAACACCTAACCACACTCTCATTGTATATTAATTTAGTCTAAACATATTTTCATGGTACATGATCATTATTTGTAACTATCAAACGAGTAATCTATTTAAACTTCATATACGATCTAATTAGTGTACTAACCCTTATAAAATCTCTATTTTCTAGAGAAATAAGAACACATAAGGTCTCAAACCTTTTTAATCGTCTTACTATGTCATCTCTTTATGCAAATATGCATTAAAAAAATACCAAATTTTCTATTTTTCTTGAAATATGTGGGTTAACCCCTTTGAAAACATTGAATTTTTCGATACATCCTATCTAAACTTTTTAGATTCTTTAGTGTTGTTTAAAAATACCTAACCAGAATCTCAAAGTATAATAATATAAGCTCAACAAATTTTCATGGTACATGGTCATCATTTCTAACTTTACAACAAGTAATTTATTTAAACTTCATATTCGATCTAATTAGTGTACTAACCCCTATAAAATCTCTATTTTCCAGAGAAATACGAACACATAAGGTCTCAAACCTTTTTAATTTTCATATTATATCATTTTTGAAGTAAATATGCATTGAATTAAAATTACCAAATGTTCTAGTTTTTCTTAAAATATGTGGGTTAACCCCTTTGAAATATTGAATTTTCCAATACATGCTATCTAAAATTTTTAGACACATTTGTGTTGTTTAAAATTACCTAAACATCCTCTAAATGTATATATAATGTAGGCAAAAACTATTTTCAAGGTACATGGTCATCATTTATAACATTCCACCGAGTAATTTATTTGAACTTCATATACGATCTAATTAGTGTATTAACCCCTTATAAAATCTCTATTTTCTAGAGAAATAGGAACGCATAAGGTCTTAAACCTTTATAATATTCATAGTATGTCAGTTCTTGACGCAAATATGAATTAACACAAAAATATCAAAGTTTCCATTTTTTCTTTTTATATGTGGGTTAACCCCAGTGAAAAAATTGAATTTTCCGATAAATGCTATCTAAAATTAATAGACACTTTAGTGTTGTTTAAAAATACCTAACCACACTCTCAATGTATATTAATGTAGGTAAAACATATTTTCATGGTACATGGTCATCATTTCTAACTTTCCAACAAGTAATTTATTTAAACTACATATACGATCTAATTAGTGTACTAATCCCTATAAAATATATATCAGTGCATAATGCAAATATTCATTAAAAAAAATACAAATATTTCTAGTTTTTCTTTTTATATGTGGGTTAACCCCTATGAAAAAAATTGAATTTTCCGATAAATGCTATCTAAAATTAATAGACACTTTAGTGTTGTTTAAAAATACCTAACCACACTCTCAATGTATATTAGTGTAGGCTAAACATATTTTCATGGTACCTGGTCATCATTTCTAACTTTCCAACAAGTAATTTATTTCAAACTTCATATACGATCTAATTAGTGTACTAACCCCTATAAACTCTATTTTCCAGAGAAATAAGAACACATAAGGTCTCAAACCATTTTAATATTCATACTATGTCATTTTTGATGCAAATATAAATTAAAACAAAAATACCAAATTTTCTAATTATTTTTGAAATATGTGGGTTAACCCCTTTGAAAACATTTAATTTTCCGATACATGCTATCTAAAATTTTTAGATACTTTAGTGTTATTTAAAAAAACCTAACCACACTCTCATTGTATATTAATGTAGGCTAAACATATTTTCATGGTACATGGTCATCATTTCTAACTCTAAAACGATTAATTTATTTAAACTTCATATACGATCTAATTAGTGTACTAACCCCTATAAAATATCTATTTTCTAGATAAATAAGAACACATAAGGTTTCAAACCTTTTTAATCTTCATAATATGTCATTTCTTGATGCAAATATGCATTAAAACAAAAATACCAAATTTTCTATTTTTTCTTGAAATATGTGGGTTAACCCCTTTGAAAACATTGAATTTCCAATACATGCTCTCTAAAGTTTTTAGACACTTTAGTGTTGTTTAAATATACCTAACCACCCTCTAAATGTATATTAATGTAGGCTATAAATATTTTCATGGTACCTGGTTATCATTTCTAACTTTCAAACGAGTAATTTATTTAAACTTCATATACGATATAATTAGTGTACTAACCCCTATAAAATCTCTATTTTCAAGAGAAATAAGAACACATAAGGTCTCAAACCTTTTTTAATCTTTATACTATGTCATTTCTTGATGAAAATGTGCGTTAAAACAAAAGTACCATATTTCCATTTTCATAATTCTCATATTTTGTAAAATCTTTACGACATCTGATTCATTCATTGATATAAATCGAATACATTCTTGATATATCCAGAATACATCAATAATATCTCTCATTGTTTCTTGATCATGTCTTCATTTGGTTTCTCATCCTTCTGCTATCTCAAATGCACCTTGTTAAACCTTAATAATTAGGTGATTCAGAGTGTCATTTAGGTTAATATAAGAGGTAGCACCAATCGGTGCGAGTCCACTGCCACTGGTATTGATAATCTATAGAGGTTCCATTGAATCATGATATTGATTAGCTACCTAATCTTGCCTACTAGATTAGTAATGTCTTAATGAATTCATTAAAGATAGGGATATTCCCTTGTTTCTACTTTGACATGAAAAAGTCAATTGTTATATTTTCATTTTTAAAGAAGGATGGCCTACAACAGTCAACGATTTAGCGATTCCCCTCGAGTTCTTTTTGGTATTATGATTTTCTATTTGGCGTTGAATTTTTTCCCTTTTTTGAATAAGATTTGGCGTAGAACTTACAAACAAACAAAAAAAACATAAGTGATGATACAACATCGACATTTATGTAAATCATTCACGTTTATTAATTATGTACACTTGCTATCATTTTCAAAATTTTCCACGTAATTTAGTTTTTTCTTCAAATAAATATGTTTGTGAACACATAAATTGTTCTTTTTTTTTAACAAATAAATTGGACGTAGACAATATTTTAGTTTTAAGTTAAGAAGATTTCGTGTTGGTCATGTACTTTCTTTGTTCAGATTACCACAAATTCTAGCCGAATTACTACCAAGTTTTTTTTTCCGCAGGGTTTAATCTAAATGGTTGGTCGAGTTGTGCACTCCTGAATCTATAATGATTGTTCGTATACAAATTTACTAGAGAAATTATAGTAACTTTACTTTGTGTTGATGGCCTTTTGATGGTCAGCATTAAAATACCTTCGAAAAAACGTGAAAAGGTAGAGAAGATTCACGAGAAGCAACCTAAAGTTCCACGGTTTTCCTGAACCAAAGAAAAGTTGATAAAAAAATATATATACTATGTAAGGTTATATTACATACATTGACCATTTTAATTTTCTTATAGATAGATTATGGTTTGACATTGAGCCTCATTTTTAATGTTCATCGAGCCTGTTTTCTTTTTTAATTCTAAGTTATCTTATAATAAAAAAATCTAATATTATACCTTTAATGTCTTATTTCCAACTAAAAAATAATCTTTGTCGGTTTCTAAATTACATGAAAGACCAAGAAGGCTAGAGCTAGATAAGTTGTTCCGCTAAAGTGAGACTGAAGATTGAAGGAGCCTTGCGTAGTTTACAAGTCAAATCCACGTAGGATACAACGTGAGCACACGTAATTGCTGCGGGGCCCGTTTATTTTCACACTCGAAGCTGATTGGGTCCGACTCTATTCTGAAATGTTAATTACAGTCATTGCCAAAATTTATAAAACGATCTTTATTGATCTTATTTTTGTTTCTTAAAAGGGAGAGTTATACTCACAACTATTTTGGTATAGAGATTTTTGAAAACATTTTCATTTGATTAAAATATTTACATAGTAAGATTCCATAAATTTGTTTGGGTTAATTGACTCTTTTTCTATTATATAGAAGGGGTAATTGACTTGAGACACGAATAAACATAAACGAATTTGAGTCGACATAACAATTGTCAACGATATACTGTAACGCGTTTATTTGATAATATTTTACTTTTATGTTATTTAATTTCTTAGATATATGCATTTGTTGCAAATTTAATTTTTTTAAATAGTGTTAAAGTATCTACAATATAGAAACGACTTTATCAACGTCATTGACTTCACCACATATATAATTTGCGGGATATGGCGAGACTATCAACACACAAGAATATTTCAAATCTAAACAAAAAAACAAAAAATCTTAGCTCCTCATTAGCGTTCGTGTGTTTATTTTCATATTGTTTAGTCAAATTTATTTTCCTCTTTAGCTTCTTTTTTTTCTCAAGAAGCTCATCTTTATTTCTCTAAATTAATTATTACAAAAGTACAATGGAAATATCTTTGAACATGAGTGGCTACGTAGAAGAGTTCATGAAAGCTCTTGAACCGTTCTTGAAGGTAACTTCTTCTCCAGCTTCATCACAACCAATATCACTAACTCATGATAACCTAACCATACCGGTATCTAACCAAACCGGACCACTTGGGCTAAACCAGCTCACTCCCACTCAAATCCTCGAAATTCAAACAGAGTTACATCTCAGACAAAACAAATCTCACCGTCGAGGCTGTGGTGACCATAACCTTCATATTCTCAACGCTAAACCAATGAAGAAAACCGATGTAACTAAATCGGTTAAACTATACCGAGGCGTTAGACAACGGCAGTGGGGAAAATGGGTTGCTGAGATTCGGTTGCCTAAAAACCGAACCAGGTTATGGTTAGGCACGTTCGAAACCGCGGAAGAAGCTGCATTAGCTTACGACCAAGCTGCTCATAAGATCAGAGGTGAAAACGCTCGTCTCAACTTCCCTAACATTGCTGGTCGAGGAGAATACAAACAGACATTGTCCCCATGTGTCAACGCTAAGATCGAAGCCATATGCAATAGTAGTTCAGTACTTCCCATGTCTAAGCTCAAAAAACCGGCAAAAATAGAGGAAGGGTTATTAGGTTTTCATTACACGGGTTCTGAAATGGAGCAAGAACGCGAAGTTTTAGATAACTTCGGATACGGGTCGGGTTCTTCTCCTGAGTCAGATATAACGTTGTTGGACTTCTCTAACGAATGGGTGAAAGAAGATCATGAGAGCTTTTGCATGGGTTTGCAGAAGTATCCTTCTTTTGAGATTGATTGGGACGCTATAGATCAACTCTAAGGCTCCATTTAATCACTCATAATTCATTCCTTTGTAATTTTGTAAGATTATTTTTGCAGAGCTTTGTAATGAAATTTCTTCATGCAGAGGATCAGTGAAAACTACGGTAGAACCTCTATAAATTAATACTCGATAAATTATTATACACTAAATATCTTTATAAAATAATATAATTTTATAGTCTCATATTGAGTTTTTGATTCGATTAGTATATCGATAAATTAATATCTCTATAAATTAATAAAAAAATAAAATTTTGGTGTAATCCCAATATTATTAATTTATAGAGATTTTACTGTAGTATGTTTTTGTTTTCCTTTGTAATGTATGGTATAATTTTTAATAGGCCATGTTTGTTGAAAAAAGCCTAATATCTTTACATTCCGAGACGAGTCCACTTACTTATGGGCTTTGTAATAATAAAATGCATTTAACCAGCTTCGTGCATTTAACCAGCTTCGTAATTATTTCCTTGTTTTCTGCATATGTTAAAGCTGGTTAATACTTGTTTTTGATTATATATAGATCAGAGTATGTACGTAGAATCGAGTAGTTTATTTGTTTAAAGCACTTAAAATAATAAGGATGGCTGGAATCACAAGAAACAACTCGAACCAATATATATAGTAGTTTTTCAGTTTACAAGTGAATCTTTCGACCAATAAAACATAATGAATCAGTTAGTTGTGTTCCTTGATAATTGTGAAACTGAGAGAAGGGCAGAACAATGACACATGTACATTGAATATGGCTTCCCATTGTTACGGCATTCTTCTTCACATGCATACCCATGTGCACATTTAATCATATACATATGGTTCTGTGTTGATGATTCTTTTTCAAAGTTCAACATGAACATTAATGCTGGAGACTGTACAGATCAAAGATCTTGAAGAGTGGACCGACATTTCCAGTGTCGACACGTCTGTGGAATCTACGCGAGCTCTTATTACATGCAATTATGCGCAGGATGAGAGGGTCATGAGAGGCAGATGATATGGACATAAAGTGGAACACGTACCTTACTTGACGTATCTATGTTTTTCATGCGGTGCAAAGCAAACAAAACGGAGAAATTGTACTTTTAAAACTTTTTGTGGTTAAGATGTACTTTAATTCACAACAGAAAAATGAAGACTTGGAAGTTGAATAATTTGTCATTTCTGAGTCATTATCAGCATAAGTACTCTGTCTGTTCTCGTGGCGTGGAGTCAGTAACGGGCCTACCAAGGATGTGTGTCTAATTCTCACTAGTCGACAATTTACATCCTAGTAATCTCGCATTATTTTTTTAATATAATTTCTCCTTTTTTTATTGTTCGAATTGTTTGAACTATATAGTAGTATATTACTTGAAAATCTATAAGCTACAATATCTATATGTTTTGTGAAGCGAAACTAAGCCTTTGTAGTCTAAAAAGAGGAGAAAGAGTGCTACTTAAGGATTTCACCAATAAACGTTATCTTTGAATTTTTATACCGGTATTGTTCAGTATTTAAATGCAGGATTTTAATATTTATTCCTTTTTTTCTGAATGCGAACAAAGAAACTATGTACATTTTACAAGAGCTTTGCAAGGAGAAATTTTACATTTTGCAAGATTTCTCGACAAAATAGCGCCGTATAGGAGAGAAAATATGATTACATCACAAAACAATACACATTTTCTTTAGAATTTTACATAAGGATACAATATGTAAAAGGTAAAAATGCATTTCAAGCAAGATCATGGTGAACAAGATCAACCTATATATAGAGGCACATTAAGAATTTGCCCTTATATATCTTGTACAATGTTCCGTTCTAAGATAGAGATATACATATCATATATAAGTATTTATATGCACTTATGGGCAATGATTATTTATACTAAAAAAACTCTATTGGTCCCTTCATGTTCATTGCTGAATTTGTTTCCACTCCACCAACCGTCGCAAGAAATCCATCACCTGTATATTTAGCAGAAATACATCATTAGTATTTGAGTAACCATACCTATATACGCATAAATGGATGAATGTATACTTTAAACATCTTCGTTTATTTGTTTATATACTTGCCTCAAGTGGGTCTTGCAAAGAATACGAAGCATTGGTGTCTTTGGGAAACTTGGAGACAAGAAGACCTAAGCCTTGCCCTCTTTCTTGAAGCAACTGGTTTAGAAGACAAAAATTTAAACGAAAACAAACACAATTAGAATTGTGAAAGTGATTGTCTACATCGTACGTACATTTTATTTTTGTTAAAACCGGTGTTATGGATACTTTACACATTAAATATAGGTTTTAATTGCAGAGATTACTCTATGTTTAAAACCTTATAACGTTTAGATAACTATGAATTAAAACTTTAAATATGAATTGAATTTGTATACCTTGAAAGCATCTTCATCGGTTCGATCATCACCAATGTAAATAGGAAATACATCGCTAGAGTTATCAAATCCTGCAACATGCAACAGCCAGAGTATTAAATTTAAAATTGTTTGATAAGACATATATTGTTGATGAAAAAGTATTTTTGAAATAAAAAAAATATCTCACCAAGTGACTCTAACAAAAACTCAAGGGCCTTGCCTTTGTCCCACTTAATCATAGGTCGGATTTCAAAAACCTGATTAAAGTCCAAAAATAAATAGGTTATGTATTTTTAATGCAAATAAAATCTATGTTACTTAAATTCGCCAATAAGAAGATGCCACTACAACATACCTTCCGACCTTGGGACAGTTTCAGTGTCGGATAGTTATTTACCACCGACCGAACTTTTAAAGCCAGCTCGCTCCATTTCTGAATATTTTTCCAAAAAATAAATTGTTATAAGTACAGGAGTGACTGATTAACTTTAAAAATATAACACATATCTGAAACGTTTGTGCTAATTATACAGTAGTTTGTTTTATACCTTCTCATCGACACAGCGGAAGTGCACAGAAAGGCAGAACTTGTTGTTCTCCACTTTAGCTCCTGGTGTTGATTTGGTTTTCTCCACTAATTGTTTAAAAACCTATAAATACATTTTAAATTTAATACTCAGTCACATACATATTCACACATACAGTGGATAAACCAAAAAAAAAAGAATGAAACAAAACTGTTATTTACCTCATCAATCATGGGAAGAAAATCGCCGGCTGGTTGATAAAGAACAGATGGTTTATCCTAAAAAAGCAAAGTAAAATTTATTTATTTTTTAAAGTGGAATTAAAATTTTGTAATCATTTGAGCTTAATAATCTTATATACTCACCTTATTGTATCTAGAGAAACCTTTTGTTGGTCCCTTAATATCCATTCCATGGCTTCCAGCATAATATAATTCTGCTAGCTTCACAAAGCTATAAACCTGCAAAAAGAATATTTTATTAACAGTTAAACTTAAGTTTTTTCATTAACAATTTTATTTAAATAATACTAAAGTAAATTATTATACAAAAATGTACCTTGTCTATGCATCTACCAGTAACTATGGAAGTTGGAAAACACTTTGCCAGCTTTTTCACTGTTCTTCTCATCTGTGAAAAACAGAACATATAATATTTAATATGGAAGAAATAATAAGCTTAGGATTTAAGTATTTTATCAATTTTAAGAACCTTGCTGGAAATGAAAGCTCTGTCTGGATCAGAGACGATTGGAGAAAGAGTACCGTCATAGTCAAGAAACATAACGATTTCTTTTCCTCTTGCAGCTTCAATGATTCGTTCAAACATGTCAAGTGCTGATGGATGTCGTTTCTAGTAGAGTTTAAAGACAAGAAAAACTTTAGCATCATCTAAAGATTATTAAATAAAAACTGAGTTATGTCTGAAAAAAAGTGTGTTGATGGGAGCTTACAAGCCAAGAATTGAGCTCTGCTTCTGAGGAAAGAGAAGGAAGTGATTTGAGATGAGTAGGAGAAGAAGCTCTCATGGAGTCAACCCAAGAGGTGAGTCTTTGACTTTGGTCGCCATTGATCTCGAGGCTTTTGAGTAGTTTCTTCTTGGAGACTGAGATGTGACCGGGAGCAGTCGGTGGCTTTTGAGCGGAAGGAGTAAAGACAGAGGAGTTAGAGACGGTGGAGACCGTTATGATTCCGGTTGTGACGTCTGATACGACGACGTTTTGGCTCACCATTTTATGAAAACTATATAAAACAAAGAAGAAGGAGAAAGAAGAAAGAAATTTCTTTGTTATTGGAATCTGTGGTTTGGTTTTTTGAAGTGTTTGAAGAGACGAGAGAGGTAGTGTGGGAGAAATGCGGTGACCAAGAGGTGCCTTATATAGATTCACAAGGTAACACAAAGAGGTGGAGAAAGAGAGAGAGTCTCGTTACAAGTTACAAGTGGGAGCCATGGGACCGAGGTTATGAGGTGGGACCTACAAGCCGGCCCAGCTGAATGAGGTGGTGGTGACTTGTCTGAACTGGTCCCACAATAACGCCATGTGTCCCATATACAGAGGAACCACTTTTTTCTTGTACGAGTTTTGTTCGTGTAACGTCGTATATATGTTCTTAATAATAACCTATCGTTGCCGAATATTATTTAAGTAAAATCGAGTTATTTTCTTAATAAACGTCAATTTCAGCATAGACATCGACCTTTTTATTTTGTTTGGGAAACTTAATAAACGTCGATTTCAGCATAATTTTGCTTTTTCGAAAATTGAAATCTAAAAATTGTATAGTTTTGAGTTCGAACCTAGACATAATTTCTACAATTTATTATTCATCCAGTATAGTTTATTATTTTTACCATAACCTTTTTATTTCTACGTGGGAAACCTAATAAACGTCGATTTCAGCATAATTTTATTTTTTCAAAAATTAAAATCTATAAATTGTATAGTTTGGAGTTCGAACTCAGACCTGGTTTTTATAGTCTATTTAACCATCCAGTATAGTTTATTATCTTTACCATGACCCTTTTATTTCTACGTGAACAGAGGTGGTTTTGTGTTACATAACGGCTTCAAAATTTTGTATAAAGATGTGTGTTTTTGTAGAAGGTACATAGTATGTATGTTATTCTTTCCGTAATCGTTTGATTATAATTTTTACAACTACAAAAGACTATGTTCATTTGTATGTATATACTAATTAGGTTCGCCAGAAACAAATTTAAGGAAGGTACGTAACTCTTCAAACAATATGCACTAATCAATGTAAATGCTAGCGTTAAATACTGAGCCGCTTGACTCAAAAGTCAAAAGGGTTTGGCACATAGCAGAAATGCAGAATCCTAAAATTTGTATTCGCCACGGAACACCTAATTTTATTTTGTTTTTTGTTTTTCGTTCTCCAAAACTCGGTTATCTTACTGTATGTGAATATTCGCTCTACTAAAATTTTGAATTACATATTGAATATTTCAAAAACGATATTCTGAAAGTAATCGACCAACGGTGAGCATCGAAACCAAATATTTATAATCTAACGAAATTTCCTTATAATTAGAAATTTAGAATTAAGAAGGCTCATATATATATATCGATCCATGCAAACGTGAGAGGATGAACACGTACCCAATATATGAGTGACCTTTCGAAGAAGTTTTAGTTCATCTTTGAACCTATCAAAACAATTTGAAATTTGATTGTAAGTAGTAGAGGCTTCTTATTTTTACACGTGGATATATTATTTGGGACCGTTTCTAATTGAATTGATCTTTTGACCCCATTTGTGCTTTGTACTTATCAAACAGTATTGTCTATAGTGATAAGCTTTTTGGGTAAATATTATAGGATATCACATTGTCACAAAATGGTGTCATTCTAGTGAAACATTCATGTGTCATGGCATGCATGCAAGTGTGTAAACAAAATTATACTCATACCGTGTTTCAAGAAATGTATAGCAACATTTACTTTTTAGTTTTTTTGAGAAAAATTATACAAGCTTTATCAAACTTAGTAATGATTTTAAACATATAAAAAATCAAACATAAGTACAACTCGAAGGCGCCGCTTGTCTTTGAAACCCAAAAGCACCCATTTTGTGTTAACCTCGAAACCAGCTGCGCCTGCAACATACAGTATTTGCTTTTATACTATTTTTTGTTAATTTATTTTCTTGGTCTTTTTGGCAAAATTTATATTTTCTTACGTTTAATTGTACCGAATACCATATTTAGTAGTTTAAACATGTAATATAAGATGTTTCTTTTATTGCATAACATTTTTCTTTGACATCGTTGAAATGTTAGACTTAGATGGACTTTATTTTTATCTATACATTGAATTAGTGTGTACAAGAAAACGGTAATTAACAAACAACATTATCTGTTTTTAGTTCTAAAAAATTTCTTAGTATTTTAACCAACTTTTTATTGGAATTACAAAATAGCAGTTTCTATAAAATATTTTACGAAATAAGTTACGTGTGTGTGTACATAACTATTTGTTAAAACCTGTGGACACCATATTTCTGTATGCATGTCAACAAAACAAACCAGTGGGTAGCGTGAGAATATGCTATTATTGCATTCCTGTATTTGATATAAAACAAATAGTTGGTATTCAGTCAAAAGAAAGAATTATATATTGATTCTATGTACAGTTTACCGTGTTCCTTTTAATCAAAGTTCACAACCGTCCCCGTGTTATAAATTCGACATCTAAACGATAGAATTCGCAAATAATTAACTCTAAAAACTCCTATATATATTGAAAATAAAATTTGTTGTTCAAAAGAAAATCAAAGCAGCAAATTTTATTTTTCTAGGAGGAAAGATGACCGGTCAAGGATTCAATTTACTACAAGGAATAATATGTGTTAATTAGTCAAAAAAAAACTAGTATGTTTTGATCACGTTTATGATCCTAGCTGGTCAACGGCACGAAACCAATAGTCTTTCTTCCTTTTTGGGTCAAAACCAAAAGAGTTCCTTCTTGTTTGGCAATAAACACGAAACGAGATTCTTGAAGATTGCCAGATGGGAACGGAATGTTTGATATTTTGACCAAATAAGAATATAAGATACTACATAAAACCAAACCAAAATTGTTTTGCTATGATTCTTAGGCATGGTGATGATATTTATGTATTATATATAACCTTTTAAGGTGTGGTATTCACTTTTGATCATATGCTTGCCATCCATCCTACGAAGTGTTGAACTTCAAAACCAAAATGAAGGGAAACACAAGTTTTTTAAAATAAAAGCTTACCAAATTAAATTCTGGACATAAATTTCAACATAGCTACACGTCAAACTTTCAAAAGCTGGTTGCTCAATCAAATCAGCTACTCGCATATGAACTCTTCGTTCGCAAGGTCATATAATTGGTATCATATCAGCTTATCAAAAAATAAATTAGATGATTATTTTTTATATGTTTCATAGATTCCATAATAGTTGCTTATACATTGTTGACCAAGATACTATTCTTTATATGTAAAAAGAACTTCAAACCCTCGGGAAACACTAGATGGACACTGGTCAGTCTTAACGAATCAGTTATTTTTACCTCAATAAACAATTTTTAAATGTTATTCTTGATTTGTTAGGATCTTATTCTCTCTGCCATGTGCTTGCAGTTTTCCGATTCGATGTATGTTGAAAGTTTCAGTTAAGCCTAATGTGAACGTGATAAATAATCATATAGTTATTACTTAAAAGTGTTAGCCTTTTTTTGTTACACAAACGTATCGCTTTACAGTTATAATGTAATTTATAGTTTTTTTAACTGAATTAATTATAAAATATATACATTGATTTAATAAATAAATCTATTTATTTTTAATATTATTGATCAAAATAGATGTAACTAATGAAAATATAAATGTATTCTAATTTTTTTTAATATGTGTGAAAATTGTCGGGGTGTCACTCTTTATAAAACGAAATAATTATATATTTCAGTTAGAATGATGTATTCACAATAAAGGCTTCTGGTTTCTGTGCTTCACGTTGACATTCATAGGAAGTTCTTTAGCTTTCTTACAAGGTTTGAATGGTGAAACTGTTAGTGGAGAAAAAGCGATATATAGTAGTTTTTTAGATTTCTTTGCCATAATCAAATAACTCGAGGCAATCGATGATGACATAAGAGAATATGAAATAGTTGAAGAAAGAAGTTTCACGGAAGATACTAGAGATTCAGATTAATTCTTTCAACTCTGACCACCGTTAGTTTTATTTAATTCTGTTCAGCAGTTCCTTTTCCATATTAATGGCCTTGCACTTTACATAGATAAAAATAATAAAATGAAAAAGCTGCAAATAAAATTATTTAAGATAGAAACTGGAAAGCAACTCCGTGTTTGTCGGCTAAATCAACGCCTTTGATCGTCTTCTTAGATTGTTGTCAGTTTAAATAAGCTTTATGTGTTTTTAATTCAGCTCTTATGTATTATCTTTGTTTTTGCAATGAGTTCAACATATAACTAATGTCTCAAAAAGTTAGAATGTGAATTAGTTTTAGATTCACGTGCATGCACATCCACGAAGTTTACGAGTCTTCTCTTGACCTAATTCATGGTCTTTCACATAAATGATGTTTTAGTCAACAAGAAAATTGATTACTACATCGTTCACATTACAGGAAAAAACAAAATTACTCGTATTATAAATAAAATCACCTCACAAAAGATAACTAATTCTTTACGGAATTTAGTCATATGATACATTTATTACGAATCGTTATATACATTTTTTTCGAGTTCATCTATCACAACAAACAAAATTTAATAGAAATCACAGCAAATTCTTCATTCCGAAAATTTATACTGCTATATTGTTCCGAAGAGAAATTTTGTATGATTAATGGAAAATTATTTCTTAAAAATATTACAATAATAGTAGGTCCTTTTATAACACCAGTTGAACTTTCATCGACACTTTACAATTTTAGCTTATTGTATATGTTGACCCGTTAATCTTGAATTATTTTATCACTATTTCATTCGAATACTCAAATTCAGTTTAATTTTTTTTACAACGATGCGCAGCGGGCGACATCTGGATTTCATATTCTAGTATTGTTGTCAACTTTTTCACGAAACCACGTATTTATTAGAGACTGTCCTCAATTATTGTAGTTTCGTAAGTTTCGTATGTTTTTCTGGTAGTCAATTGAAGTGTCAGTCTAAATCGCCGGCCATGGACCGGACCGAGCCTAAAAAGGCTCAAAAAGGTTCATAACGTGTCAGGAGCTTGCCGCTCGCTGCCCAGACCATATGACTCGTCTGAATCTATTCTTCTGCTTAAACTGACACCACACGTGTGGTCTACTTCGGTACGTGTCCC